AATAAATTTAAGTTATGACCTTATCTGCATGCTTCCGATTTTGTTTCTACAAGAAAACGTGACAGAGTAAGTCGATTTGTATTCCTAGTCAAAATATTAGATCAAAATCATTTATACCATCTTCTCCTCGACATTGGTAAGCGCCACATCAATGACTCTAGAAGATCTGCGTATGAACTTGCAAGCTACTTCCGTCTATGAATAAAACGATTTTAGTAAAAGGAAGGTTATAAATGAAATATTTGGTAAGCAACAAATCAAACCTCAGCATTATCAATCGACGTTTCATTCTCAATTTGTTGCCAAAATATGTGAACGTCCTCAAATTTCGTTCGATGTCTCTGATGCAGTTATAGAGGAAATTAATATTGATATATGTTATAAAGGAAACCATTACAATCGTAAAATAGTGTAGACAGATCACAACGGGAAACCACCATAAGGCAGGTTGAACCCCCTGCCGTAGTTGTGCGAGTATGTACCCCTTCTCAGGACTGCAAATGAGACTCCTACTTCCACAATAATTATGAAACATGGCGGGAAACCACCATAAAGCGGGTTGAACCCCCCGCCGTAGCCATGGAAGTATGTTACCCCTTCTCGGGACTTCAGTAGCAAGCCTCACACCTGTCTACAACTCGTACATCAAAAGGAGAGAAAATAGACACTTGCCTCAAAAGATTTTTGCAAACGGACAGCGTTCTCTTTGACTTGAGGTGTTCCATCTTTCACCAATGACTTCAAACAACACCAGAGAATGCCAGACTCTTCTCTAAAAGATCGGGTAAAATCATCTTGCTTCTGGCGATAACTGTAAAAGTCTAGGAACCGAAAATTTTCAGGTGAAGTTTTTTTAAAATATTCCATGGTGAACGCGTATCAATGAATGGCAATTTTTTAAATTTTATTTGATAGCACGTATCACGTGATAATCAAACATCAATGAACCATTTTTTATACGTGTACGTGATTAAACTTTTGAATAATTAATATTTTATATAAAACAATGGCAAGCACAAAATCTCCAATCGATACATTGAAAGAGTTAAATCTTAAGCTCGTTCTTCAAATCGATGAACTTAGAAAGGAGAATGCTGAAGTCAAAGCTAAGAACACAAGATTGAAACAGGCTATAGAAGAAAATGCAGTGCTTAAGATCCGGTTCGAAGAGCTAGAAAAGAAACATAAAACAGATACTGCCAAGCTTACTGCCGAGAATGCTGAGCTTAAAGATAGAGTCACAAAATTGGAACAGAAGCAGACCCAAATTATCACTAATGACCTAGACGCGTCTTCTACGAAAGATATTTTGCAGAGCATAGCGAACTTTTATTGTGATTGGCTGATTTTTGTAGATCATCTCGTCATACTAAAGTATTATTAAAGTAATGATTTTCCGTCACGATAGTTACAAGAATTGATTCGTAGCCACGAATATGAATTTGCAGAGGTTGTGATATAAATATTTAGAAACTATATTAAAATCCGAGAAATCTATGTTAACATCTTTTTCCTGAAAATAGAAGTCTTCAGAATTGAAATAGTCAATTCGCACATATTCTGAACTTTTAACGAAGATTACTCTGCCATTGTTGTAATGTTCTTTAATACGGTAATATTCAAGATTCGAT